CAGGCTGTGTACAGTAGCTTTACATGGAGTAACTTAGTGCATTAGCCTGAGAGTTGTTGAGTGTGTGGAGTGGGAGTTCTGGGATGCTGGAACACACTGTTGAGTCTGTGTCGTGGGCCCAACTCAACGAAACAGCAGTTAATGAGAGGTCGTCCACTTAATGAACCTGTAGACTTGCATGCATTGTCACAGAAATTCAATTTGACACCACATTAAGATAGGTAATTCATTCGCAGGAGTTGCTAAGTAGTGGCTATTGGTGATGGAATTATACAGTGGCAGTGGTTACACAACTAGCTCTGATGAAGTTGCTTAACAAGCACTACAGATCAAATACTGGGTCATGCAACCAGGTATCTGCTCTTTGCTTGGGCGGGGATGGAATTCAAGAAGATTTTAAATGTGAACCATTTTTTCGGGTTTCTTTTGCTACTTTTTCTGTCCTTCACTTGTCTGCCCTCATCCTCCTGCTCTCCGTATTCCTGCCGTTAAGTTGTAAGTGTACCTGTTCGTCCTGGTTTCCGTTGTTGTCACTGCCCCTCCTTTGTTGTAAGCATTATGGACCCTGTTTTTGTTGTTACGTTGGCTTTGTCTTATGTTTTCCCCCAATAAACCTTTTGTTTTGCACTAGCACCTGGGTCAGCAATCTTGTGTCCTACCCCTAGTCCTCCCTCACCCTCCTGGCGAGGGGGGCTAACCCTAACAGGTATCTGCTCTTTGCTTGGGCGGGGATGGAATTCAAGAAGATTTTAAATGTGAACCAGGTCCAAGATTTTCTGATAAGAAAGGATAATACCTGGACTACTGAAGGGCCCAGGCAACTCCCACTGAAGCCAGTGGGACTAGCCATGGCAGCTTTGCCCAAGCAGATATAATGTAAATGTTGCCAAGCTGCCAAGTATTTACTCTTGGCTTGGGTGAGAGAAAGAGCAACTTTAAAGTATGTTACTGTAGGTCAGTTTAAAGGTACTAGAAAATGGTGTTGCCTTTCAAGCCCAGTAAATTTTTGATGCCATAGCCAGTAATACGTGAAAAAAATGGTTTGATGTGAATATAGGCTTCCACAGGAATACCCCCCTAACTTTTTGAACATCTGTCAGAACTGAGAGCTACTGAATGAAAATAAAAATTTTGAAAGTTGAAAATGATGAGTTTTCCCAAACATGGACAAACTCAATATATAATTGTTTTATAATTTAACTTCAACCTTAGTGTCAACAACACTGCACATAAAAAGCATCCCATAGCAAGAAGTTACAACAGAAATGCACCAATTGTATCCAAGGTCAGCACACAAAGACACATATTGTAATGTGATGTAAGGAGCAGAAATGCTGTTTAAATTTGAAGAAAGGCAAATAGTGCATGTATCCTCCAATATCTGTTGCCTGCCATTAAACATATTGGTCAATCAGTAATGGTTTGGGCGTCCATCTGGTGAGAGTCTAGTGTTTGTTCTGCACGACTGCATAGCAACCAGGACATATGAGGCCATTTTATGGGACCAGATGTATTCAAGGGTGTAAATCCTGTCCCATAATGCTGCTACAGTAGGTTAGTATAAGTTAAATTAATAATAAGGAATACATCTGGGACTGCTCAGTTTAATTACAGGAAATTTTTAGTTTAGTTTTCATTGGACAAGTCAAATCTTGTCTATCTGTGTTCCAACATAGCCCTTAGGGAGCAAAACATTGGCTTTTCCTCCTTTGTCACCGTGGCATCTCTCACTTAATCTGAACTTTAAACAGTAACAAGCCTCATTTGCCTCATAAGCGAGCCATTTTGCATAAAGCTGTGATTTAAATATAAATGAGAGATTAGTGGATGTCCATGAGGGAGATTAAAAGTTAGGAAAGAGCACATGAAGTTGTTACTGCTGCTGTAGTTCTTAGATGGAGG